AGCCTCTCGGGCTTCTTGTCCACAGAAGCAGGGCACTAATTTCCACTTACCTGCCACATCCAGGGCAAAGGTCATGAACACCTCTGCATTCCTGCAACAGGATGCACAATGGGCTTTTAAGCATGGCACGGTCACCAGAGATGGTAGTCTGGTTCCAGGATATCCCAGCAGTGGGGAGTTCCTTTGGGCGACACAAGTGAGAAAATTGGGCTAATGTCGGATGTGAGGGGCACCATCGGGATGGGAGTAGGGAGTTAATGAGGTGAGATTGGGACATGAGGAATCCAGCTTGGCCTTGCGGGCAGAAACCCTTCATTAAACACAACAAACATTACACCTAGCCAAAAAGACGCAAGATTCAGCCCCACATCTCAGGTTAATGACTTCTCATTAGAAGCGGAGAATGTTAAGGGATTATTTATTTATTTGTTTGTTTATTTGTGGGAGTCACTGGCTGGCCAGCATTTATTGCCCATCCCTAGTTGCCCTTGAGAAGGTGGTGGTGAGCTGCCTTCTTGAATCGCTGCAGCTGTGCGCTGTGGGTTGACCCACAATGCCATTAGGGAGGGAAATCCAGGATTTTGACCAAGCGACAGTGAAGGAATGGGGATATATTTCCAAAATATTTATCCAAAAATACTTTAAACAAGTATCACTGACAAACTGAGACATACTTTGGATAGAATTTGTGCATTTGAACATTTAGTATAACCTCTCCTCAAATTAGGTTCTTCAAACTTAGCTAGGAGTATTTATTTCCACAACAAAAAACCTGACTAAAATGAACATTAAGGTTTAGGAGACAACTAACAGTTTTAAATAAGAAGAGACGGGAGAGTCTCCGCCGATTTCCCCCTAATTGCTGGAAAATGTATAATTAATTTGTTTCCATCAGATTTTCCTAACCTGATGATAAAATGAGGAATTTGCAATTCTTTGTAGTGCAGTCTCTTTAATCATTCAGCTCTTAGCAAATCCCATATTTTATGCAAAATCTGATTAGACTTCCAAATGACCTGTTGTCTCTGGTTGAAATTTGGCAGGATTTGATTTGGTGTGCTGAGCATCACGAAAACACAGTAATTAGAAACACTGCATGCATACAGCAGAGCTCAAAATAATGTGAACAAATATATTTCAAAGGATGTTTAAATTCTGTATCCAAATCAGTGTTTTTCTCAGTTTGTATTGCCTGTTAAATCTTCACTTTTTAAAAAAATTCCAAATCATCCTAGAGGAAAGTCGTGATTCTTGAAGTTTTGTTTTTGGAAAGGATATTTTAGTTTTCTAAGCTACCTCATTTACAGCACTCTCATTTATCAAAACAGTGGCAGAACGAAGCTCAGTGTGGAAACCAAATGTACCCTACTTGGGGCATGTTGACTCCTTATTTATTTGTACTGGTCAGCTTTTAGACGAATTAAGAGTCTTTTTTTCACCTTTGAAGCTTCAGCTGCCTACTCCTACATATTGGAGACAAATTGGTCAGTTTTCAGCTTGGTTAAGCTGGATTCTGGTGACGAATGATAGGCAATACTTACTGAGAATTTTCTATGTGTGATCAAAGAGTACAGCTCTGCTGCTGTAATAGAGGGTATTTAAGTTTCTGTCAGTGAATCTGTGAATGAGATATGAAAATACTCAATATCTAGTTTCCTGTGACATCTCTATGTGCGAAAACAAATTCTTCCAATAATGCATCAAACTGATGATCTATTTAGTCAGAAGTGGAAGAATAATTCCCTATCCAAAGATCAAAAATGCATCAGCTCCCAGCCTGTTCTAGATGAAACCTTAATTCTGTTTTGTAATTTAACTATGTTGTAACTTGTGACGCGAATCTCCTGTACAAACTGAAAAGGATACGCTTCACATTGAGCGAAAGTAGTCAACACATATTGTCAAGCCCTATCATCTTGGCATTTATATAGCATGAGATTGTAAACTACTTAGCCCAAATTGAAAATATTTTAATAAAGTTCCATATTGCTGAAAAGAATACACATGGCTGTAGTACCAGTGTGATGCTAGGTATGTAGCCTGTATGTCATATCAAACAATATGTCCCATTCTGAGGAAGTGTCACTGGACCCAAAATGTTAACTCTGACTTTTTTCTTCACAGATGCTGCCAGACCTGCTGAGCTTTTCCAGCAACTTCTGTTTTTGTTCCTATATATGTCCCTTTAGCTGTTCACATTAAGCAAGTTGCAAACTGTACCCAACCAGCCTGCACTGCCTCACTCACAACACAGTGGCTAACGTCAGATATGATTCTGCAACTGGACAACATTTGCTGGAAAATCCCAAGTGTGTGAAGAATTACACTGACAACCAATCGAAGATTGTCAGTCAGACCCACAGTTTGAAGCATTTGCATGTGCTGGAAGCTACATATATTAAAATACAGGGCTCTGCTCTTTGCAAACCTCTAAAGGACATGTACTCACACTGTACCTGTTCCATATCAACAGAATAATTTACAGACATTCACTGGTTCATTTCTTAGGGCAATGTCTTAACCAATCAGAGTCAACCTGCCTGGTTTAAAATCTACTCGAATCAAAACATTAACTCTGATTTCTCTCCACAGCTGCTGCCAGACCTGCTGAGCCTTTCTAGCAATTTCTAATTTTGTTTCTGATTTCTAGCATCCACAGATCTCTCAGTTTTTACCATAAGGTTCCACCTCAAAGTTTCACACTGCCTTCCCACCACCAACATCAGAGACAGTGCTAAAAGTCTGATACGCACACAATTCTGCTCGTTATTTCAGGCTAGCAGCATTGCTCAGCTAACCCACGTGACTGATAATAATCTCCAGCAAGAAGTGTCGGAGTTTGTGAAACAGTAGATTTGGAAGAAAGTGAACATATGAGTTAAGAATGGGAATAGGCCATTCAGCCCCTCTAGCCCTTCTGCCAGTCAATCCAATCAGGACTGATCTTCTTGTAGCCTCAGCTTCAGATTCACCTACCCCTGTAACCATTGATTCCACGGTTAGTCAAAGATAAGGTGAAGAGAACACAAGGTCTTACTGTGGAAAGTACAAAGAAGAGGTGTTTGGAGAAGAGAATGCAGTGAAATGATGATTTATAGTTACTACATATTGGGTTATTTACACTGTGCCCGCTGTGGCTTTGCTTGGGGCCAGCAGGTTGCCCTGTCAATGGTACAGGACATTCCCAGTAATATTGAAGTGTCAAGTCCCAGGTAAGTGCAAAAATCAAGATGAACACTCCAGAAGGAGTACCATCCTGTCAGAGCTATGGTCCTTTGGTTGAGATGGCCCTGGCTGTCCTGTCAGGTGGATGTAGTGGATCTCACAGGCCACAATTTTAATCAAATCATAGAATCCCTACAATGTGGAAACAGGCCCAGCCCAACCCTTGGAGCATCCCACCTAGACCCATCCCCTTATAACCCACTTAATCTACACATCCCTAAACACTATGGGCAACTTAACATGGCCAATCCACCTAACCTGCACATCTTTGGACTGTGGAAGGAAACTGCAGAGCACCCAGAGGAAACCCATGGAGACACGAGGAGAATGTGCAAACCCCACAAAGACAGCCACCCAAGGGTGGAATCAAACCTGGGTCCCTGGTGCTGTGAGGCAGCAGTGCTAACCACTGAGCCACCAGGCCGGGAACACAGGACATTGGAGAGTTCTCCTTGTCCAATCAAATTCCACAAAAAAACACTATTTGGTCATTATCACCTCGCAGTTTGTAGGAGCTTCCTGTGGTCAAACTGGCTGTTCCGATATTACAACAGTGATTACATTTCACTTGTACTTCCCTGGTTGTAAATACCTTTGAGAGAGGTGGCTGTGGAAGACACAATATAGATACAAGGTTTTCTTTTACAATTTTCAGGGGTTTAATGAAACGAGGATGATTTCCAGCATCTGACGCCCTCATTCTGAAAAATGAATCAGTAATTAATGGTTTCTATCACTGTTTTACAAAGGTTAGATACAATGTCCTGGCCACTTACTCATTATTTCTGTCCATTAGCACAACATCAGCCCTATTAGATAACAAAAACGAAATAATAAAAACAGTTCTGAGGAAGTCACTGCAGCAGAAACTTTAACTCTTGATTTCAGTTCTGTCAGCCCTATCACCCAAATTACTGTAAGCAAGAAGGCAGCTCATCACCACCTTCTCAAGGGCAATTAGGGACGGTCAATAAATGCTGACCCAGACAGCGACACCCGCTGCCCACGAATGAATGATTTAAAAAAAATTACTTTCCAAGTCCATTATAAATCAGTCACAAAAATACAATGACATCAATTCCCGGTTCAATTATTCGAATACCTGACCCACAACACTGATGTAAATTGTTTTAATATGTATAAAACCCTGCAATTTCGTGTAGATTTAAAGTAGAGGTCGTGTCCTTGAGCCTTATTGCCCTCCTTCAATGAGAACGTCGTTTCTGGCCAAGAACGTGAGCTGGTCCTGCGTTTTCAGTCGGAGTAACATGCCCCATGTGTTTTCAGACGGAATAACATGCCCCATATGTGTTTTCAGTGTTTAATGCTGAGGATAGGATTATCCCTACTCCCTTAAAAATCTGTGAATCCTGATCAAGGTGAGTGCATCTCTGTTGTTGATACTAGAGCAGGTATTGATTATTTCACTGCAGTACAGCAATTGTAAAGCCTTTGCTTTGTGTGTGTGTGTGTGTGTGTGTGAGGCGGGAGCTGGCTACACAACTTTTATGAATGAAGCTGATTTACATTCAGTGCGCGTCCCCGGGCCCGGCTCATGACTGCGCTCGGCCTGACGTCAGTGAGGTGCCTGTGCATCAATCAGCTCAGGCCAGTGACTCAGTCTCTGCTTCACTTTAAAAAAAACCACTTCAACTCCAGCAGCTCTGCACTCTGCAATCTCACAGATGCAGCAGAACAGAGACAGACAGAAGCCTGCAAAGAGTCAGAGCTGCTCCTCAAAGCCACAGCGTCAGGCCCTGTCTCTGTGCACCGCCTGCAAACCCTGGACAAGAATTTGAATGTGGAACATCTGCACAAACAGGTAACACCAGGCTCAGTTTGCAATAGAGACAAGCAGAAGCAGCGGGATGCATTGCTTACTTTCAAGGGTATAGCCCGCGCCTGTGTTTGTTTTGGACGATTGCAGAGGATGTGGTGGGGCGGGCGATGGACGGTAAGAAATGTGGAGCTTTTGCTTGCTCTAGTTAACTATTTCCTAACGTTGAGGGGGTGGGGGAGTGAATGTAGTGCAATCGTGTCGGCTCAGTGATATACAGTAAATGATGGTGAGCTGTGCGTAGTGAAAGGTGATGGAAAAACACGAAATAAAACAGAACTGGAGCACACGCAAACTGCCGGAGAAACTCAGCGGGTTTTCTCCAGCAATATCTGTTTCTCTTTGTTACAGAGAATCGTGTTGTGTTTACAGAGCATCACAGTTAATTAGGAGTAAAAACAGAAATCGCTGGAGAATCTCAGCAGGTCTGACAGCGGAGAGAGAAAACACTTTCACTGTATTTTATATTGAATACACGTGACAATGAATGATTCAAATTCAAACCGGGTTAACATTTCCAGTGACTTCAGAACTAGACTGGAAACGTTGTTTCTCTGTCTCTCCAGACTTGGAGTTTTTGTTTTAGATTTGCAGCGAGCATAGCTCTCTGTGTTTTCACAATGAATTAGGTTAGAGTGCATTGTTTTAACTCTGTCCAAACACGCTCTCCCATGTTTGCAGGGAACAGCCGGCAGGATGAATGAGAATATCTCGAAGAATTCCAGTGAGGAGCAGGCGGCTTGGTTGGAGACCAGTTTAGATTTAGCCTTGACGCTGCAGCAAACTCCACTCAATCCCTGGGACATTGTGCTGTGTGTTTCTGGGACAGTCATCGCCTGTGAGAATGCCATCGTGGTGGCTATCATCTTTTACACGCCTGCCCTGAGGACCCCGATGTTTTTGCTGGTGGGAAGTCTCGCAGGTGCTGACCTGCTAACCGGCCTCGGGCTGATCATTCACTTTGTGTTCCTTTACTGCCTGCGCTCTGATCTGGTCAGTCTGGTCACCGTCGGGATCTTAGTCGGATCGTTCACCGCTTCAGTGAGCAGCCTGCTAGCTATCACTATAGACCGCTACCTGTCTCTGTACAACGCCCTGACCTATTACTCAGAGCGGACAGTAACCCGCACCTACATCATGTTGTTGCTGACATGGAGCCTATCCCTGAGCCTGGGGCTCCTGCCCGTCCTGGGCTGGAACTGCCTGTCGGAGCCCTCCTCCTGCAGCATCGTCAGACCCCTGACCAAGAACAACCTGATCATCCTTTCCGTCTCCTTCTTCATGGTGTTCGGGATGATGCTGCAGCTTTACATGCAGGTCTGTAAGATCGTGTGCCGCCACGCTCACCAGATCGCCGTGCAGAGACACTTACTGTCCAGCTCTCACTACGTGACCACCCGCAAAGGCATCTCCACCCTGGCCCTCATCCTCGGCGCCTTTGCCATCTGCTGGCTACCGTTCGCCATCTACTGCCTGATAGCTGACTCCACCTACCCTGCAGTGTACACCTACATGACCATCCTACCTGCCATCTACAACTCCCTCATCAACCCTGTCATCTATGCTTACAGGAACCAGGACATCCAAAAGGTACTCTGGGCTGTCTGCTGCACGTCCAACAAGTTGCCCTTTCGCTCCAGGTCCCCCAGTGATGTCTAGCCCCTGGCTGCAAAATCTGTTGGATCTTACCGTGCCTGTCTTGTTTCTGACTTCTTGGTACCCAATGATGTGGAGGTGCCAGCGTTGGACTGGGGTGGATAAGGTCAGAAGTCACATGACACCAGGTTTATAGTCCAACAGGTGTATTTGAAATCACAAGCTCCCCCAGCGCTGCACCAAAGTCTTTTTCCTGACACCTGACAAAGGAGTAAGGCTCCGAAAGCTTGTGATTTGAGGTAAATCTGTTGGGTTGTAACCTGGTGTGGTGTGATTTCTGACCCTGATGACTTGGAAAAGCACCTTCAGTCAATACCATTGCACTAAGCCCTACAGAGTGGAAACAGGCCATTTGGCTCATCGAGTCCACACTGACTCTCCAAAGAGCATTCCGCCCCTCCCCCCCAGTGCCACCCCTCTAGCCTATCCTTGAAACCCTGTATTTCCCATGGCTAACCCACCTAGCCTGCACATCCCTGGACACAATTTTAGCATGGCCAATCCACCCTACCCTGCACAGTTTTGGATTGTGAGAGGAAACCAGAGAATCTGGAAGAAACCCATGCGCACACGGGGAGAACATGCAAAGTCCACACACAATGTCATTCAAGGTTGGGATTGAACCTGGATCCTTGTGTGCTGTGAGGCAGCAGTGCTAACCATTGAGCCACCGTGCAAGACATTAACAAAAAAAAACTGAAAACAAACAAAGGCTGCCTGACCTGCTGTGATCTCCAGCATTTGTTGCTTTCAGTACAGATTCCAGCATCTGCAGTAATTTGCTCCTTACTATGTTACAAATAATAATTGCAGAGACAGTGCAGAGGGAACGGAGTGGTCCCCCATCCTGAAATTCAATAAAAGGACTTTGTGTACTGTACTTGAATTTGCACAATTGTTAAAACAGAGAAAAAAAACAGAACTGTCTAAAATGTACACTGCACTTTGAATTTCAATCCTTACTGTAACATTGCACAGAATTTGTTTTAAAAAGATAGTTGTTTGTGTATTTTTGGTTCTTGTTTGAGATTTTTGGATGTATTGTTTACAATCATCAATAAAAAACAGTCATAATTTGTGATAGAAAATGAGGCTCTCTGCTTTACATTCTGTGTTATTTTAATATATTTCCACATGCAAATATCTGAACGAATTGGTCACTAACCTTAGGGCAACATTGAGCTGTAAACTTTAGACTGAAACCATCACCTTAAACAAAGCGTTAATCAAAAATATCCAATAGAGTCATAAAGATGTACAGCGCAGAAACAGACCCTTCGGTCCAACTCTTCCATGCCAATCATATCCTGAATTAATCTAGCCCCATTTGCCAGCATTTGGCCCATATCCCTCTAAACCTTTTCTATTCATATAAAATAAATGAATGGGATAAATCACAGAGAATGGATACAGGCTGTTCGGTCCATTGTGACTGCACCAGCTCTCTGAATGACCAATATAACTAAGTGCCAATCTTCCACCTTTTCTTAAACCGTCTAAATTGTTTCTATTTAAATAATCCTTCAATATGTTCTTCTTAAATGCATCAATTGAATCTGCCTCTACCACATTTCCAAGCATTATCTACTTGCTGGGTGAGAGATTTTTCTTGTCATATCACTCCTGCCTCTTTTGCCATTCACCTTAAAACAGTGCCCTCTGGTTTTTGGTCCTTGAAGAATGGAAAACAGTTTCTCCCTATCCGCTCTGCTCAGACGTGTCCTCATCTTGAAAACCTTTATCAGGTTCCCTCTATGTTTTCTCTCCAAGGTGAACAGTCACAACCTCCCTAACCTATCCTCAGCACTGAAATTCCTCATCACTGGAATTATTCTCCTAAACCTCTTCTGCACTCTGTCCAATTTTGGTTGTTAACTTTTGCAAATATATCAAGTCATATTGTATATATTATCATTGACATTACTGCAATGGAAAATATATTCAAAATGAACATTTCCATCATCTGCTCAAGTAAATCTGGAGATACAATAGGTCGAGCACTATCCAGATTTTGACGGTACAACAATGAGCAGAAGCAGTGGATAGAGGGCTATCCCGGTTCCAGTGGGATCTCACTGGGTAGGTATCCTCTGCACGTGTTTCTGATGCTGGTTACAGCCCCTGAGGCTTGTATTGTGCTGGAGGAATGCAAAATGCACCTTCTAACAGGGTCCCTTTCACTATCAAACCAGCTTCCTGAACAACCATCTCTTTTAAGGTACCTGTCTCATGAAGAACATGTGGACACTAGTGTCCAGCAATGACAGCTGAGTCTGGACATTCTGCAGATGTTGATTTCTCTGTTTATGGGAAAGCACAGGATGAGCTGAGTACTGGTGCTTTGGAAATGGGAGCCTCCTTCAAACTTGTCCATTGTGCAGCAGCTTCACCGTCCCCAGCCTCTCCCTCTCCAGTCTCTCCCTCCGCACTCTTTCTCTCTTCCCCAGCCTCTCCCTCTCCA